CGGGCCTAATTAAATATTGGACAAACGGTGCAATAGATATGCAGCAGTAGGTCTGATCCTGGAAAATGTATAAGATTTAGTGTAAATTTATTCAAGTGTTCAATAATTTTCATAAATCCTTTTTTAGTTCCCATTTTCCTTTGTGTTATGTATGTTAGATATTATTGTAAGAAATATCAGCTCCTAGCGCTTCGTTACAAAATTACGCAGAAGATGTCGTCTGAAGTCACTCCAGAAAGCAGAAGAATTTAAACATAGCTAGAATATGATTTGACTCTCTATTTGGTTTATAAAAATAAACGGTAGGCAATTCAAAAGTAAATCAGGCCATTTTATGTCCACACTTGTAAAGAATACATTAGTGGCTCAAAATTTTGTACGATTAATTGTGAATGATTATTATAATTTACGATTTGCAATCCGTAAACTGGAGATTTTATCACCAGTCTTTTAAGGTTAAACTTTATTCAGTAATGGATACTACCTATTTAATAAAGCAAGGAAGCATTATTTATCCCCGACAGGATAATATACATATATACTACATCATATTATACATATATACTATGCACATATGGAGCATAAATAATTGGAAGCCGGTGTTCGGATACGAAATAAATATTCTGCCTAGCTTGGCATCGAACTCTCAAGATGGCGAACGGAAGCATAGCGAGTTCTTGTATTCTTGTATTAACTGATGTTTGTGCTTTCAGTCCCGTGACTATTAAAGCTTCATCTGACACAGAACCGGTGGGCTAGCCAGAACCCACGGGTTTGGGCCCTCCGCTGTGGGTAGGACCACGCTTTGGCACTGCAGCACCCAGCCACAAATGCATTTGTTTCAGTTCACTTAATGCTCAATCATTTATAATTACGAAATACACCCGCCATCAGCGAGTATTTCGCGGTTGGTCAACCGCTTAACACAATTAACGTAATTCTTAATTGAAATAATTGCTCGATTACACTTGTATCCATTACTGGGTTAAAATTTAGCTGAGTGTTCGCTTCGGCGAGAGTTGCGTAATGAAATTGGTAACTTGTTATTTAATAAATGCACTTGATTATGACCATATAATTAACAGTAGTTTTAGTTCGAAACGATTGTTACAAGTATAAAATTTTATTAACAAAAACCGGCAAGTGCGTGTCGGACCTGCGCATGAAAGGTTCCGTAACAAAAAAAAACATATTTGTTGTGTAGGAGCCCCTTATTTATTTTTTAATATTTGTTGTTACAGCGAAAACAGAAATACATCATCTGTGAAAATTTTAACTAACTATCACGGTTCATGAGATACAACCGGCTGGTGACAGACGGACAGACAGACAGAGGAGTCTAAATATTAGGGTCCAGTTTTAACCTTTGGGTACGGAAATCAAAAAAGTTTTTTTTTTTACTGTGAAAAGTTGCCAAACGAGCAGACGGTTCACCTAATGTTTAATGCCGCCCATAGACATCGGCTACACCCGAGGGTTTGCAGATGCGTTGACAACCTTTTTGGAAATTGGGCTCCGGCTACCTCACTCACCAGACGAACCGCGAAAGTATTTATCATACTTCCAATTTAAACCGGTCTTCTGTGAGGTCGTGGTACTTACCCGGACGAGCCTGCCCATTCGTACAACAGCCGAGGCTTGTATCTTGTATCTTGTATTAACTGATGTTTTTGCTTTCAGTCCCGAGACTATTAAAGCTTCATCTGACGCAGAACCGGTGGGCTAGCCAGAACCCACGGGTTTGGGCCCTCCGCTGTGGGTAGGGCCGCGCATGTGCTCATGCGTGCGTTTAACTACGACATGTCATCTAAGGGCCATCGAAGTTGCGGTGCGGACCAAGACCCCGATGGCCGTCGACTGTGTTTTTAGCTAATCGGTGTCTGGGGGCGGTGAGAACCGCCCTGGAACGCGGGTGTACCTTGTGTACGCGTTGTGTTGGTCTCGCCGTGCTCGGAGGCGAGGGCGAACTATTGTGTTTGTTGTTACACTAGCTGTGGGTGTAGTGTTATCCCCCCTCCGACCGGGTTCCCGCCTTGACGTGGCGGAGGGGCTTAGTAGCCGTGGCTTGGTCCCGGCCTGTGGTGTAAGGCCGGCCCGAGAGGGCCGCTCCGAGTGGGCTCAATGAGCCCACTCTGGATGCGTGCTGGATGGTGCAGGGGACAGGTCGAGGGTGGTAGAGGTGGAGCCACTCTCCCTGTCTTCTGCTACCGAGGAGGAGTCGCGGGGGAAGAGGATTGTCGGTATTGCGTTGGCCGTGCTCCCTATCCTGCGCGACTCGGCGGGGCTGCACCGCTGATGCAGCTGTGGTGGGGCCGCGGGGGGAGAGGAGTGTCGGTATTGCGGTGCGCCGTTCTCCCTATCCTCCGCGGCCGAAACGTGGTGAGCGGCGGAGCCACAGACCAGGTCCGCCGCTGGGGGCTGGGAGGCTTGCTGCTTATTAGCACTGGCTCTCCTGGCTCCCATGGCCCCGGTCAGCGAACTCGGGGGGGTTCGTTGGCCGTGAAAATGGGGCCGAGTAGGAAGGCGCGCTGAATGTTCCAGCGTCCCACGTCAACAAAAAAAAAAAAAAAAGGGTGTAGTGTTATCCGGCGGGACCCCCGACGGTGGGTCCGGCGTATATAAGTCCCCTTCCTCGACCGGGTCGATGGGGACGTTTCGCGGGCGACGCTTGTTGACGTTCGCGTTTTTGTCGGGTTGGTAATTTGCTGCGCTTACCACCAGAGGGTTGGGATGATGCTCTATCGAAGAACCGTTTGGTCAGGTCTTTAAAATATTCGCGAATCGTCGGGAGTCTGCAATCGCTGTGCAGATCGACGTTGCGTTGATACCACTGCGCACCGGTTGCACGGCGGATGAACTTATTTTGTACTATTTGCAACTTGTACAAGCGAGAGTAGGGTGCGTGTGGGCGAAGGTCATGCATGCGTAGGACATAATAGGTCGTACGCAGGTCTTATGTAATAATAATTTGTGCCTTAAGGGCATTTTTACTTTTAGCGTTAGTTAAATTGTGTAGCCGGCCGGAGACGAACGCGGCTCTATTACGAACGTTATTAATGTGCGTAGTAAATGACATACGCGAGTCAAAAGTGACTCCTAAGTATTTGACCTTTTTCTCCCAGGGGAGCGGTTGGCCATAAAGGGATATTTGCACCAACTTTCTGCATTGGCGAGGACCATTATAAAGATGTGACGGGTAAGTACTTCGTGTGAAGTGAATCGCCACACTCTTTTCGGGATTTATTTCTATTCTCCATTTGCGGAACCAATCGCCGAGGCGGTCGGCGGCGCTTTGGAGTCGAGTGGTTAGTATTCTAAGGTTGCGGTCTGAATAAAAGAGCGCGGTGTCATCCGCGAAAAGTGCGAGATTGATGTGGCGGTCTTTGGCTATTAATATTGGCGAGTAAAAGTTAACTTTTACTCGCCAATATTAATTAGTCCTACTAAATACTAACCTAACTGGGATGAGACCAGAGAATGCAGATAAAAAAATGTTTTATTTACGTTCACTGGATGAGTCGCTAATATCCATTGTAGAAAATCGGGTAGGAGCGGGAACACGAAGTGATGACGATACTAGGGAAGGTTTATCCTTACCCTGAGCGTGAAGCGGGTATGATAAACAGGGATTGGTATGTTTCGGAAATCTTCTCGTTCTTTTTCTATATTTTAATCTACTGGGGGTGGTCAGCAAGGGGGCATTAGTTATCTTAACCTCCCATGAACCTGTTTTCACCCAAGGAGATAGGGCATTTTTCGAAGACACATTATTTAGGTATATTATGTAATATGTTTTCCCTATTCACCTGATTTGAAATATCCTAATCATTTTTTTCACTTAAGCATAGTGATTAGTGAGTGAATTATTTTGCTTTTTTAATTTATATTACATAAACAAAAAAAGCGAAATAATTTAACGATACTAAAGGAATAATTGAAATTATATGCAAGCAAAAAGACTAACAACCTTGGTTAATCTATCTCTATAAATTAGAATAGATAGGAATTTATTAGAATATAATTTAAACGATGAAAATAACCAATTCAACATTAACTATTGACAGCTTGTAAGATTTGCAATACAGGTAATTAAAATAATGAAGCTGAATAAATAACTTCCCAAATTAATAGAGAATTTACATGTAACACAAAACTAACGTGAATTATTAATCCAGTAAACCTCCTGATTATGCGGATTCCCATAATCAATATTGGCGATCAAATTGTAACACAATATTATCGTGGCATTAATTAAAATCAAGGTACCTAAATTAATCCGTTACAGCGGAATGTTGTGCGGCGAGTGGGCTGCGAAATTTCAAGGGAAAAGTGGAGCAGAATTAGTGTTACATTATCTTTAATTAGTAGTGAGAGAAAGCAAATTCCCTTTTTCATTTTTTTTATGTGAAATGTTGCCAAACGAGCATACGGTTCACCTGATTAAGTGAATACCGCCGCCCATGGACATCGGCCACACCCGAGGGTTACAGATGCGTTGACAACCTTTTTAAAATTGGGCTCCGCGTAATTGTCGAAAACAGTTTTATAAACACACGAAAGTGTTTGCTGAAAAGGAAACGCATTATCAGATGACGCCAGGGATTGCTAAAAATGCAATGAGTACAAAGTAGGTACGACTTAAAGATTTTCGCGCGCTGGGGATAATGCCCGATTAGCTTAGTGGCTATAGCTACTGGATGCGTAATCCTTAAGGTGCAGGTTGAAATCTTGGCAACAGCGACACATTATTCCAGAATTTTATCGACACATATTAGCAGAGCCTATCACTAAAATATAATTTATCTACACATATTAACCTACAAGTGCAAATAAATAAATAAGTTATTAGTTATCTAGTCTCATGCTAAGCATCGCTTGTACGAAGGGTACTAAATCACTGATAAACATACTTAAACATACTTTTCTTTTGTAAATAAATACATATTATACATATATAAACACCCAGACACTAGAAAAACACTACGTTCATCGTCACGTTAGCCAGTAGCCTCAGCAGCGCCCTCCCGGTGGCCTATCCCAACTCTCCTCTCCCCCCGCGGCCCCACCACCATTGCATCAGCGGTGCAGCCCCGCCGAGTAGCGGAGGATAGGGAGCGCGGCCTTAACATTAAATTCGACTTTGTGTAGCGCACAATATATACAAAGATAATTCAAGACTCTAAACAACACCTCAATACAACGTACGTGTTATGAACTGAATTGGCGAGCAATTTATGAAGTTTGTTAAGTATTTTACGGTGGTAGGGCCACGCAGCAGCCTCGGTTGTTACACGAATGGGCAGGCTCGTCCGGGTAAATACCACGACCTCACAGAAAACCTGCGTTAAGTGGAAGTATAATACTTACGCGTTTCGTCTGGTTAGTCAGGTGGCCGGAGCCCAAATTTCTAAAGGTTGTCAACGCATCTGCAACCCTTGGGTTTAGCAGATGTCTATGGGCGGCGGTATTCAGTTAACATCAGGTGAACCGTCTGCTCGCTTGACAACTTTTCGCATAAAAAAATGTGACCTTACAGCCTGTAACGTAATTAGAATAAAATGAAAAGCTATGTTATTTAGCGAGATAATGGGATGTGATCCCGATATTTCACAGCGCTATCCAGTTCTTTTGTGTGCTCCATTTTTTCTTATCAACTCCTTGTCCCTATAACTTTGGCGAAATATGAAAGTTCTTTGGCTTATTTAAGTAAGAGAGAAAGAAAGAAAAGTACGCGTGAGCTAGCCACAAAGGGAACGTACCGGATACTTGCACCGTTCTCACTATCAGATCGATCTTTCCCTGATTAATAGCGGCCGCGGGTACCACGATTACTTTTCACTAATTAATTGGACGCTGTTTAGTTTGTCGGGGGAAGGTCCTAATGAATATCTCAATTTAGAATGCCCGCGTAACTCGGCTGGGCTGGTTTCTGCGGTGCTGCATGTATACATTCTCGTACTATAAACATTCATAATACGTGGTAAAACTTCTGTAGCAGACGGTTACAACATGTATCTTACTGTTTTGGTGAGTCCTTTTTAAATTAGTCCAATTTGCAGAACGAATAACCTTAAATAACTGCCTATATATATATATATATATATATATATATATATATATAGGCAGATATATATATATATATATATATGTGAACGGTGCGCATGGGCTTCCCCCTCTATTATTCGTAATATTTTTGTCATGTTATTGCTCTTTTATTATGGATTTTTTATAGAATTGTAGTTTTAATCGAACTAGTGCATTTACCACATACGACAGCATTATTGCCATATGCCGGGTGGCAAGGGATTTAATATAACCAGGCACTTGATAATTTAATATAAACCTTTATTTTGCAGAATTGCAGATTAACTTCAAAAGGGTAAAAGCGCAACCCTTCGCATCCGACCATTCTGTAAAACAAACGATGTTAGTTTTGTTTGGTTTTTCAAGAAATTCCTCTGAATTCTCTCGATCCCGCTACACGATTCCAAGAATCTTTACCCCTATCGCATAGTTTTCTGCGTAGACTTCGTTGGCTTTAATATCTCCCCCTCCCCCCCTTCCGCCCTGAACGCGGTTCGCTGTTTTTAATTATGTTACTTTATTCCTTTGAGAGTTTTAATTAAAAATGCATTTTCAGTCTATAGTTATTGGTCGGCGCACCGAGACAAACCGCTCCCTTCCTTTGTTTTAATATACCGGTAATGGAGCCAACTAACCCGTTATTAAGTGACTGCTTTAAATAGAGATTCCGATCTCGGGCCAGTGTTGGTAAACACCGTCCCTGCAGCTATCTTATTAGGAACTCGAAGTGCTCGGTAATTGTTGAATAAACGGCGGGCCATTAACGTCTTTGTTGGCTGTTGGATATGCCTTGCGCTCTATCTTGTCCCGCGCCGACACACTGCAGTTGATGATTAAGCCTTGATTAAAATTAGATGCTATAACACCGCGAAATAATATTTATTTTTGTCCATTGTTTTCAAATATCAACTAATATTATAATTAACAATAAATAATTTAATAAACTTAATTTTTAGAGTTGGTTTCTGCATTTAAAAATGTATCGATAAAACTGTTGCAAAATTCTTCGCCATTACCAAGATTTGATCCTGGACCCTCCGGATTACGAGTCGAGACGCTCTCACGACATTCTCAACACGCTTACCTACTAACATGAATTGGCATAGAACAAACATTTTGTTCTCGAGGATTTAGGATTTTTTTTTTAATTTGTCAATCGATCAGGCAGTTTAACTGATGTTAAATCGCATCTACAATATTATATCCACGGCCTTGCAGATGCGTTGACAACCTTTAAAAGCGGGCCCCAGTTACCTCACTCACCAGACGAAACGCGGGATGATATAAGTTAACTTATTTATATTTCCATTTCTTTATTGTTTTGTTTGTATTTATTGAATGATTTATTCTATAGAAAGCACTTCTTGGGTTCGTTAAAATTATCTGGTGCAATTAAAAAAAGGGTTTACTAAAAAAGCGATTTTTTTATTACAATATGTTTTTGAACATTTTATGTGCAATGTTATTAATTACTGCTCGAAACTCACATTAACATTTTAAAATTTATAATTAAATTTAATCACCACTGTCTTCTGAATGCAGAATGCGAAACGAAAATGTTTAATAATTTTACGGCGAAATTTTAAATAAAGACATAAAACAGTCCACATTATGATCCAACACCGTCTTAAAGTTTAAATTCAGCACCAATTTACCCGTTTTGATTCACTATAATTACCGCTTGAATGTTTGTGGGTTAAAAACCTTATTTTATATTAAAATCAAGCAGTAGAATCAAGTTCTCTCACGTTACTTTATCCAAATACGTTAGAGCAGGTGGCAGATCTGATGCTACTTTCAAAGGAATCTAATAAAGATCCCAATGTTTTCATACATGAATAACAAAAACAGAATTATTCCTAATGGTATCAGCGCAACGTCGACCTGCACAGCGATTGCAGACTCCCGACGATTCGCGCACATTTTAAAGATTTGACAAAACGGTTCTTCTATAGAGCCCAGCATCATCCCAACCCTCTGGTGGTAAGCGCAGCAAACTACCAACCAGAAACTAACGCGAACGTAAACAAGCGTCGCCCGCGAAACGTCCTCATCGACCCGGTCGACGAAGAGGACTTAGACACGATGGACCCACCGCCGGGGGTCCCGCCGGATAACACTACACCCACAGTTAGTGTAACAACAATCACACCAGTTCGCCCTCGCCTCCGAGCACGGCGAGACCCACACAACGCGAACACAAGGTACAGCCGCGTTCCGGGGTGGTTCTCACCGCTCCCAGCCACCGATTAGCTAAATGCACAGTCGACGGCCGTCGGGGGCTCGGTCCGAACCGCGACCTCGAGGGCCGTTCTGCGTCCGATGAAGCTTTAATAGTCTCGGGACTGAAAGCAAAAACATCAGTTAATACAAGATACAAGACAAAATTATTCCAAATAACAAGGAAATATATCTCGCACAATCCACTTGGATTTGAAACTATTTGATTCGTAACTGATATTGCAGTATATGCTATCTGTGATGATTTTTTTGTAAGATGGTTCACCTGATTTACGACACATGAGGGGTGATACGACACATGATACTTAACATTGCCCGTGAATTGTATATATAACTTGGTCAATATTCAAAACCGAAATTAACCAGCATGAAATAAACTACTACTACTAACCAAAACACTACCCCACTAATAAAATTGTAGTTCACTTTATTATGTTGTTGCTACTTTAATTTAATAGTTATGTATTGCGTCACAAAAGTGTCTTAGGTCTTTTTTTATTTGGGAAGGTGGTAAACGAGCTGCGGTTCACTTGCTGTTAAGTGATAAGCGCCGCCCATTGACATTTGCAACAACCTTAGGGTTGCAAATGCGTGGCCACCTCATAATAAAGTGGGCCCCGGCTACCTCACTCGCCAGACGAAACGCTCCAGAAGTACAACATCTCCACTTCACGCAGATCTTCTATGAGATCGCTGTACTTACCCGGACGGACCTGCCCATTCGTGCAACAGAGAAATTGTACGAATGGGCAGATCTGTCCGGGTCCTGTTCCGTGGCCCTACCACAGTTCACACACCAACACACAGATCCGATCCGATAGCTGAACTAACCGTTAAGTTCAATTTACAATTTATCGGTTTAATCTGTATTAATTAAAGGAGAAATCGCTTTTTGCAGTCTGAAGGGAAATCGGATTTATTTACGAGAGATAAATAATTGATACGAAATACGACAATTAAAAGCAAGCTTATTGGTTCTCTTAATTTTATATCGAAGATTGTTTGGGACAAACTTGACAAAATTGCACCAAGCGGGTAACGTGTTTGCTTCGTGAGTAACATTTTTTTCATAATTTAGATTTGTTAGTTCAACTAAGAAGCAGCGATGATTTGTGTAATTTTGACAAACATTGTTAATTTAATTTGTATTATTAAAAACCCGAAGATCACGAGGAAGCCTCAATGTATCACAAGCATCTTCTTTATTTCTCCGGTATCGGCAAGCTTGTGCAAGATGTAATGACACTAACATTATTGCCCCAGCATCACTATGACATTTGGAAGACTAACTTCTTTCTATGCGGTGACTTCAGTGTTCGAAACGATACTATTATAAAAAATTATAATTCAAGTATTAATTTGGATTCCTTGGAATGGTGACGTGATAAGGCTTGGATTGAAATGTATAATTGTGGTATTAGTGCATAAATCTCTTCTCAATTGAAATTTGATTTTTTTTATTTCAATAGACTCACGCCTAACGGATCGTCCTTGTTAGGAATTACTGTTTGTTAGAAATTAATTAAATTATGGGCAAACTTTGAACTTATTCGATCTCTTGTGTTTTATATACATAAATAGTAACATAAAAGACAATATGCCGAGCAAGTAGTTAAAACACATACAAATTTTAAAAAAGAAGATGATACAGATCAGTTTAGGATGCTATAATTCGTCTAACGCCTCAGTGCGTCCCTTGACCTTGTGTAACAAAACATTTGAAACGTCGAGAATTAACGCGATAAATAAATAAAAATTGTTGCATTTATAAGTGTGTAGTATTCGCGTAAACATAA